TTTTTATATTTAGGGCCGAGTTAGATAAATTTAATTATACCTCTCTTAACTAGTCCTAAAAGCTCCTTATTAATAAATTTTATAAAAAGTACTCCTAATATAGTAATAATACCCTTATTACGGAGTTTAATAACTAGTTTAAAATTTATTTCTTTTTTAAATATAAAGTAAATAATAGTTATAAAAATATTACCACGGCCGTACTATATTAATATTTTTTTAATCCTCCTCTTTTATAATAAAAAGTCGTTATTAACTATTATAATAATTTCGTTAAGGACCTCGTTAATAATAGTATTATTATTAGTTAATTAGTTAACTACGGGGATTAATAAATAGTTAATATACTCTTTTATTATAATTAATAGCTCGGGGTTAACCTCCTCTAAGTACTAAGGTTTAACTATAGTAACTTAAAAACTCATTAAACTATAAAGTAAGTTTATTACGTAAGTAATACTACTTATTAAAATAAGCTTAAATAGGCCCTTCTATCTCTTACCTTTTTATTAAACCTTAATATCTAACTAAAGTAATAAATTAATAATATAAAAAATATTTAGCCTATTCTAAATAGCTAGTACTTCGCTTATTTACTTATTAATATAAAGTTTATAAACTTCCCTTATTATTTTTTTAACTACTTCTATACGTTAAGTAATATTTAATAACGGTAGAGATTTATTAAAAGTACGTAAAAAAACTCCGAAAACGAGGAATATAAAAACGAGGCTATTTAGGCTAACTATATCGTTAACTACTTTAATTACGACTTAAAATATAGCCTCCGTACTTATTAATAAGTACTTACTTTAAATAATATTATATACCCTTTTAAATACTACGTAATATTTCTTAGCCTTATTAATACTATTATAAGCTTTAATAAGTACTTCTTTAACCTTAATAAATATAGATTTAGTAAAAGACTTAAACTTTATAATACTAAAGTTCTTATTAATATTTATAATAATCTAGTCCGGTAAACCGAAGTAGACGTTAATCTAATATAACTAAAGAGCTTTTTATATATACTTCATAGTTATATCTATAAAAAACCTTACTATTTAAAAAAAAGTAGTAATATTAACGACGTAAAGTACTAGTTAGTTAGTACCCTTATGGTTTATTAGGTATATTATATTAATTACGATTTTATAATTAAAATCGTAATTATTTTATAAAGTAAATTTAAATTAGCTAGGGGTAGTATTATTAAGTTAGTATTATTAATAGACCTTCGTAAGCTTCTCGAGGGCTACGATTTCTATATCGTTATTAAATTACTAAAATAACTTTAGAAAATAAAGAACTAAAGGGTAGCTAAAGCACTAATATAAGTAGTATAATTTACCCTCTATTAGGTAATTAGTAATAGCTTTTTTATTATTAAAAAGTAAAAGCTAAGGATATCCTTATTTTTAAATAATAAGTATTATAATATCTCCTTTAACTAGTAAGTTATTAATATTATTAAAATATACTCCTAGTTTATTTATATCCTTTAAGTAATATAAAAAAAGAGTATTAGTTAGTAAGACGTAAAAAGTAATATTATTAAATAGGGTATTAATAATTATAGATCTTAATAACCTTACGGGTTCGTTATTATTAAATTAAATACCTACTTCGCTAGCTCTAAAAGTATTAAAAATAACTTCAGGTCGTTATTATTATAATATAAAGAGTTAAGGGTAGCCCGTAATTAAGAATTCCATAGTACTAATATTAAGTATAATATTTTAGAAATCCCCTAACGAGTACTTCCTATTTAATAAAAAAGAAGTTATTAATTCTGCGGGCTTAGTTAACTCGTTAATAGAGGTAGTATTAATAAAGCTATACTCTATTACTTAAGTAGCGAGGATATTTATAAAGGTTTTATTATTAATAATAGTCGTAAAGTATATTATTAAAATCTAGACTTCGTCCTCGTAATTATTTTTATAGTTAAAATCGAGGTTATTAAAGTATTAGATTATAGTATTATTATTTTTATTATTATTAATAAGGCCAGTTCCCTTATAAAAAGTAAGGAATTATAAATATAAGTTTAGTATAAATCTCTTATTTCTTTTTTTACTATTTTTATACTTCTAATATACTTAACGTCACTCTTTTTTTAAGTATTTAATTAATTAATAGCCGGTTTTATAATAAATAAAGTACTTTTTATTAGTAATATTATAGCCGCGTTAATTTTGCTTATTAAATTAGGTTTTTTTATTAAAGCTATCGTAAATATAGTTAGTTTAATAAGTAGCGGGGACCTTTTTATTATAAATACTATCTTATAAATACTACTACTACTTATTATAGTTACGTTCTCTCTCTATAATATTAATTAAAATACTAAGCTAGTAATAAATACTAATAAACGTAAATACCAAGTTAAGTATAATAAGTCTATATTTTAATATACTACTTATATAATAAAAAAGTTAGTCGTTTATATTAAAAATAGATCCTTATATAGCTAGCGCTTTATAAAAAATTATAATATAGTTAATAAGTACTTATAAAATTTATTAATTCGACTTATTTAAATTTTTATAAGTTATAGAGTACTAATAGAAGTTATAAAACTTAGCAAGGTAGTTTTAATAACTTATAAGTAGTTTAAAGTACTCCTAGGTCCTATAGTATATTATATCGAAACTAAGCGGGCTAGAAGTATTACTAAGTTAGTTAAAATAAAAAGTTAATACCCTTTTTTTAAGTATATTTAGAAAAGTACTAGAATAGTACTATTTACTAATTCTTATTTATTAATATAATACTTTAAAAATCTAAAGCTTCTTATTAAAAATATTATATTTTTTATTACTATATTTATTTTTATTATTATAAAACTTAGCGAGGTTAATTAATTAGTAAGTATTAGGTATAATATTATCTTTAGTTTTTATATTAAAATATAGTATCTAATAGGATAGATTTTATTATTAAGTAATAATAATTTTATTCTTTAGTTTTTTTTTTTTTTTTTTTAAAGGGGTAGTAAGTTAGTTAGTTAGTAGCGAGGCTAAGGTCGTAGCTTTATTTACCTTAATTAAGCTTATTAAAATTATATAAACTCCCTTATTATCTCTCTAGCTCGTTAAATAAAATTATTAATATTTATTAATTATAGGAGTAATAAATAAAAAAAATAAGGATCGTAGTATAATATATTAAAATATTTAGTACGGCTTTAATAAGCTACGATTTTTTTAGAGGTCTAAGTAAGAAAGTACTAAGTATTAAGGGCGCTAGTAATCTTATTTACTATTTAACTACAGTCCCTAATTATTAAATTAATATTATTATTTATAAAAAAATCTCTTAGCTTCTTAAGAATCGTACTCTCTATTCTTAAAAAGTCCCTTACTTCTTAGCTATTAAAGTCGGTTTTAAAGTCTTTTTATAGCTCTTTACTTATTAAACCGTCTTAATAATAAGATCTTATTATAAAAAAAATAAAAATATTAAGCTTTTTATTACTTATAAGGGTAGGTATAATATTAAATAAGCCCTATTAAGTTAGGTTAATGTAGTTTTATTAATAAGTTAGAATTAAGTATAATTTTATAATTTAAAAATATAAATAGGTTTAAAGTAATATTAGCTAATTATTAGCCCCTTTTTATTTATTACTAAGGCTAGCGGTCGCTATAGTATATTTATAAAGTAAATTATATAATAAAAAATAATCGTAATATTTTAATTATAATATAATATTAATTAAGTTAAAATAAGTAGTAAGTCGGTTATAGCGATCGTTTTAATAGTAATAAGCGGGCTACTATTATTAATTAAAAAATTCTATTCTTTTAACGAGGTATATAAATAAAAAGTTATTAAAATTAGTAAAAAGTCGTAAAAAAAAAGAAAAGCCTTTTATAACCGTACTTTTAGTAGCAAATAGAGAATTCCGTTAGCTACTAATTAGTAATTTTTTCTAGTACTTTTTATACTTTATTTTTAATAATCTAGTCTCAGAGCTTTTATTAAGTTAAAAAGAGGTAGATTTATTAATAATATAAAATAGATCCCTATTACTATTATTATTAAAATCTTTTTTTTTCCTTAGTATTTTAAAATACTTCGCTATTTATAAGAGAATACTTTGCTATTAACGTATTTATAATTCTAAAAATCTTATTATTACCGAGCGCTAGCCTATTAGTAATTATTAAATTAATTTCTTAGTAATTAATTTCTTCTTACTTATTATTAATTTAAAGTAGCGCTTAATTATAATATATTCAAAATAAATTCTTTTATAAGCGGCTTAATTAAAAAAAAGTTAATAATTATAATAAGGTTAATAAAAATAATATTAATAATAAAGATAAAGTTAATAATAATAATAAAGTAATTAATCTTTTTATAATAATAGCCTTAATAAAAGAGATCGTATATAATAAAGCGTATTCTTAATAACTTATAATTAATTAATTAGTTATTAGCTAATAATAATAAAAGAGAGTTAAAGTAGTATAAACTAAGCTATTTATTATTAATTAAATAGATAGAACTAAGTTAATAAATTAGAATAGTTAGTAAAATAAGTTAAGACTATCTTTTTTATAATTATATCCTTATTAACTTATAATAAAAATATATATATAATTTAATTATTAATTAGTATTAATATATACGTAAGTAAGTTAGACTTTTTAATTATAACTAAGTTAATAAGTTAGTATAGGTTTATTACGTATATATATCCGAGGGGAAGATCGTAAGTAGGGCCTGCGATCCCTCTGTAAGTATAAGTAGGTAGAAGGGTCCGTCTACACGGGCCCAGACTGCCTACCTACTACCCCTACCTAACTACCTAATAGGGCCCTTTTCTGCCTCGTAATCCAACAGATGCAAAGGACGGGTTACCGATCATTTCACGGCCTGGTGATACGGCAATTCCTGGGTTGATCGATGCTCATATTCATGCACTCGGCGGAGACATCAACTGTATCGAGCAGTCCCTGCGTTTTGGTGTCACTACGGTTTGCGATATGCACAACGAGCCAAGCGATAACGCCAAGCTCAGGCAGGTGAGTTCGGGACGCACTCCCCCTAGGAAGGGACTATCGGGATGGTCTGACTTTACAATAGCTGGCCAGCGTCTTGGCGAATAAGTCGATCTACGCAGACTTCAAATGTGCTGGTCTGGGCGCCGTCATTGAAGGCGGATGGCCTATGCCGGTGATCAGAAGAGTCTTCGCTGACAACCCATGCGGAGATCACATCGTTGACCAGATCGTGTCGACCTGGCCCATCTTGCATAAGCCGGAGGATGCGGAACCATTTGTGAAGCAGCAAGTCGAAGAAAACGGAGCATCTTACATCAAAATGTTCCACGAGATTGGCGACACTCTCGGCATGGAACTTCCGCGCCCTCCTATGGATATCCAGCAAGCCGTCGTTGCCGCCGCGCACAAGTATGGTGTGACCACCACAGGCCACGCCTTTAGCTATGCTGGTGCCATGGACCTTCTCCACGCCGGAGCCGACGGGTTGAGCCACATGTTCCTTGACAGGCCACCTCGCGATGACTACGTTCAGATCATGTTAAACAACAAAGCGCACTGCAATCCAACTCTTGGGCAGTGTGCTTCACAAACAGCAGAGGGCCAAGACTTCCAGAAATCATTCTTCGAGGACCCGTTCGCTCAAAACATGCTCATCCACAAGACAGCCGGAGAGCCAATGGGGATGGCCGCGAAGCAGAAGCCCACGTCCTCTGTGCTGAATGCATATTCAAACACCAAGGCTTTATACGAAGCAGGCGTCCCTCTCATTCTAGGAACTGATGCCGCCGGTGGAGGTGTTGGTCTACCTTACGGTCTTGGGATGCACATGGAGATGCGTGTACTCATCAAAGAGGTTGGCATGTCCCCCTTGGATGTGCTCAAGTCCGCTACATCGATTACTGCAGAACGGTTGAAATTTCGTGATCGTGGGAGGATCGAGAGCGGTAGAAAGGCAGATTTGGTATTGGTTGAGGGCGATGTCCTCAGTGCGTTGTCTCTGAGCAACGGGAGGTGCCTTCCCATAAAGGCAGTGTGGAGAGACGGCGTGCTCGCATCCAGCTTCGCCGTATGAAGGTCTCTCTCTGCTTTACGAATCCATGAGAAAGATATCGTTTTGGTGGTTGTACTAGGGTATGGAACCTCCAAGTCATCTTCAGTATTGCAGGGACTGTGAGTGACACAACAAACAATACATAGAAAGCGCAACCTTGTATAATATTTCTCAGATTTCAGATTGAAAATTGAGTCTTGGCGTCGTTAGTGTTTTGTCTCTTGGTGTAGAAATGGCAATAGCGGCTATCCCCCGCAACCCGACCATCATTGTAGGTTGAGCCAAGCCATCAGATGAAAGACTGATTTGCTGTGTTAAGCTTATTGCAGATGCGCCAAGTCTAATCTATCAACAATTCTAGACTTAGATTCTTAGTTTAGGTAATAGTCGAGAAGTCAGTAGCATGGGGTCCCTAAGGCGTGCGTAGTACATAACAGGGTAATGCTCTGGGTCGCCTACTATGATACCATTACAGTATATGGATGGGTGCATTATGTAGAGAGACACAATAATATTGAATTTTTGGCGTTGGTTTACGAGTTTCTAAGCTTCCCTAGCACTACAGCATCGTACTTAGCTGACCGGGTATGAAATCGAACATTGTGGGGCCTTCGGTATCCTGTGAAGGAAATTGTGCCACAGAATGATCAGCCTCTCGAGTTACTCAGTCTAGATCCTTGTCACCTTGTTACTACTACTATCCGCGCTTGTATCGCCATTGACACTTATCTTATTCATTTATTTTTGTTCTTCTAAAACATGCCTCGAGAAAGTGACAATCAGGAAACTCATAATAATAAGGTAAGAAAGGAAACGGTGGTAGCGGCAAAAGGACAGGGCACTAAAAGGGTGCCCTAGGCGCCACAGGGGGCTGACGCGGTGGGCTCCATTTCGGCCTCCGCGGAAAGGGCTAGCCGTTCGCCAACAACTCATCGTGCCGATTTCACTCATATTCTACCCATCCTCCGGTAATCAACCCGATCCCATCAACACAAAGAGACGCTCATTTAATCTGAGTTGTAAATTGGAGCCCTGATTGGCCAAGACGAGATTGTAGCAGAGCCGTTGCAGTACCACTCACACCAATGCCATGCGGGCAGCTTGATAGGCGACGTGCTGGGCACCGCTGCGCGTCTTGTAAGAGGTTGCATGCAAAGGTTTGAGCTCCTTTTACGACTGTCCAAGTGAGCGAAACTAATTCTGGTCAGTGTAATGGTGGCCGCCCGTGTTCAAATTGCGTAGTTCGTGGCCTAAAGTGCGCTTCAACGGGACCATCAGCGGGCTTTCAGTTTGTCCAGCAGCAAGCCTCTTCAGTCCCTAGGGCTTTGGTACAAGACTCTTGGAAATACATCAGCACTTACTTCCAGTCGGTTGGATGCTTGACGCAAGCGTCTGTAATGCGAAGCGCCGATGTGACGGCACTCTCCCATCGAGACGAGAACGTCAGTCGCATGCTGTCAATCATGGGTGGTCTTTACGCCTGTCAAAACCCTCAAGTATTGCGCGTAAGCCAGAAAGAAAGAAAGACACTCTTAGGTACATGGGTGAAACAAAAGGCTTTGATGGCGGCGGAATTGAAGAAGCCTGACCCATCGTCCTTCAGCTCAGTTTTACTCAGTACCCTCCTTTTAGCAGTGATCGAGGTGCGTGTCCAGGTCTCTTTTCACGTGTTCATTAATTATAGGCTAATAATACAAAGCTAGTTCTTTGTGCCGAAGATGGCGCCTTTCAAAAATGGCTACAAAGAATCTCGAGCTTCATTGCACAACATCTGGAAGCAAAGAGTTACGCCGGCTTGACTACGTTCGAGAGAAGTTTGATCCGCTTTTCCAATTTTCTCAACACGCTTTCCGCCATTGCCCTGAACGAAGAACCGTTGGATCGTCAGATGGACTTTGAGCTTTCATCGTCGCGCCCAATCGCACCTAGAACTATTTCAGACGAAGACGAAATAGACGATATGCTCTCATCCCTTAAGCAGTGGGCTAGACTACAGTCAAGGTAAGCTCCTGAACTCATCATCGTCACAAGATGCGCAAAAGGCTTGGTACAGAGGTACTCACTACCTTAGGATGGTCGAGTGGGCTCTCAAGTTGGAAAAGAGCACCATGACACTTCAATTTGATAAAGATAGCTATCGGGAAGCCATAGACCTCAAGGTACAAGGCCTCGATATCATCTGTGAGGCATCGGCTCTTCAAGCTCGAGTCATCAACGATCTCCTCCGACTGTCAGAAGAACCCGATAGCCAGGTCTCTATCTGCATTACTCCTTACTATCATTGGACTCTCACTGGGCTGTCTCACCGCCTGTACCATGAAGCCTGGAAAACACTCAAGTGCGAGCTCCCGGTGTTGCCGGCCGAATCACTCCATCAGCAAGCACTAGTTACGCTTAGCTGCGTTGAGACGCTTGCCAGCCAATCAGGCTTTGATGTCGCACTGTATCTGCCTTTTGCCGACTTCATAGGACGAGAGATGGAAACGCCGACAGAGCAAACTCGTGTGCTTGCGTTCCTCGAAATTGTCAGATCTCGTGGCTTTGGACTGGCAAACGAATACAGGAAAGGCTTGCTAGAGACCTGGGGAGCTGCCACGCCAGCTGGAATGTCTCAAAACTTGTTGATATGTGATCCGAGCCGTGGAGGTCCCGAAACTTCGGGCAGAGACTGACAACAATACGACATCTAGACCTGAAAGGGTCATAGAACTCAGCCTTGTGCCCCTCAGAATATGGCTATATTGGGTCGACATGCAGTTAAAATAAGACTCGAAGCAGCCGGATCAGCATTGGACAGACTACGAAATATGTGGAATTTGATGTCTCACAACCTTGGAAAGATGCCTACTGATTCTCACCAGCCCTCACTGTTTATTTATAGACGAGACTCACTCATTCTACACGAAGGCCAGAGTGGAATGTTACTTCTCATCGCACTCGCCATGTTTCTCTCCTCCTCCGGCCGACGGAGCTCGAATTTGTGGGTCTACGGACCCACCGGTGCTGTCTACCCGGAAAGAGCCCCACAGTTAGCTAGCGCCGCGAGATTTTGTCCCAAAATGGCAAGATTGGCTAGGATGTCAAACGTCAGACTAAACCCGTCACCGCTCTCTGGGGGTTCGATATGAGTCTATTTCACTCTGGCTTTTCTACCGTATTAATATTTACCAGAAAGTCTTCGTTAATGGTTGCTTAGGGGACTCTCTACCACGTTAACCGGGCGGAGAAGATTTTGGCCAAGCGTTCCAAACTCAGAACTTTTGTGCCCACGTTAGTGGTACGCCAAATGACACTTTTATTTTGTGGCAGAGTTGACTGGGACAAATCATGTCTAAAGGAAGTGTGCATAAGGTAACTGTTCGCGAGATCCCAATGAAAACCAGCGGATTGGCGGCTAGATTAGATAGCTCAGGCCTTGTCAGGCCATGGCAAGTTGCGACTAGGCACATGTAGGATGTGGGCCACGGCGGAATGCGTCTAAGCCACGTTCTGACGCGATGTGCGGACTCACTGCACCTGTGCGAGGCGGACTTGGTGTGTCGGACACCCTTTCTGCCCGATTCCTGCGGAACACCGGGGAGCTGGGTCATTGATGACTGAGTAGACTCTAGCTGCCGATTTTTCTAAATCCCGTCCCTTGGCATGAGGTGAGATTTATAAAACTTCCTACGCGCCGACTCGCCCCGGACTGCGGAGCCGCCATCACCACCCTCAGTGCCCAACTCGTTTGTATTATTGTCATCAGCTTCACCCCGCCGGTGCATCGTTCAGAATGGCTGACTTACCCAACGGCCTCATCGCTTTCGGACCTGAAGCCAACTGCACACTCGATCTTTGTCCGATAGAATGGAGTATTCTTCGTTACCAGCCTTCTGTTCCCGCTAGTGGCACCTTCATTGGGTTCTTCTCTTTAGCCTTGGCTTTACACGCCCTTCTGGGGTTCAAGTGGAAAACTTGGGGGTTCACAGCAAGCATGATCAGTGGCTGTGTTTTGGAAATCGTTGGCTACGTTGGGAGACTCTTCATTCACGATAACCCATTTGACTTTAATGGGTTTCTCATGCAAATCAGTCAGTTTCTGCCCTCCTTGGAGAACTCTGCTTGAGTTGCCTGGTTCACGTGAATGATCTTAGAGCTAAAACCATTTTTAGTTTGCATTACAATAGCTCCGGTCTTCTTCTCTGCCGCCATTTATGTGACACTTTCTCAGACGTAAGAGCTTCCAGAATATTCGTTGCCTAAGCTTTGGATACTGAGTAGGCCTTCCTTAAGCATCAACTTCCTCGATCGATCGATTTCCCGATTTCCACCTCGCCTCTACTACTGGACATTCATCCCGATAGACATTGTCTCCTTGATTCTCCAGGCTGTAGGAGGCGCGATGTCCTCCGTCAGCACGACGAAGGAGGCTGCGGACCGAGGCGTCAAAATTTCACTCGCTGGACTTGTGTTACAAGTCGTCTCGCTTGCGGCGTTCTGCGGACTTTTTGGAGACTACATGATCGCTTATAATCGATCGAAAGCTCGTCCTCCGATGAGCAGGAGACTCGTGGTCTTCCTAACTTTCCTGAGCCTTGGTACCATGTTTGTACTGCTGCGTTGTGTCTATCGAATCGTGGAGCTGCATGAGGGCTACTTCAGTCACTGGTTCCGAGACGAAACACTGTTTATCGCGTTAGAGTCAGCGTAAGTGACCCTTTTCAATGTCTGACAAGAGTGAGTGCTGACATTGCCTAGCGTTATGGTTCTAGCCGTTTTTTCTTTGTTAGTCGGACACCCGGGACTTGTATTCAATAAGAAGGAGAGAGAAAGACTTGACGCAAGCAATGCGCTCAATCCAGAGTCAAGCGAGGGCGGTGGTAGTAATGATAAACCCGAGAACAATGCGGTCACAGATGGGAGCGATACTTCAGTCAAAGATCCGGCGCCAGCAGCAGCTAGAGAGAAGTCAGCCTTGTCCGCAAGCGTTTGAAAGCAATGTGTCACAAGTAGAAGTTATAGATGAGACAAAGAGATGGGCAGAACTTTGTTAGAGAAGAGACTTATAGGATAGAAGTAATTGTCTTGCGACTACTATATATATTAATGGCACCTGCTTTAGTATACTGCCTACACTTAGCACCAGATGCGATGTGTTCTTGAAAAGCTTGCTAGGTCACCAGTGACCAGCTTTCCCCTCCCCATGTCAATGTCAGTGTATCAATTCTCTTGCAACGCATGCACGGACGAGGGATAATTATCCGAACATAGTTATATATCGATATTAATATCCCTATTATAGGGTAGCTAGTTCGAACCGTAAGTTAATAAAGAGATTAATTAAACTATATAAATTTTTATATAAATATAAAAAAGAGGTTCTAATTATAAGTTAGGCTAGCTATAATAATTATAAATAAGGCCCCCTAATTAGCCCTTATATAGTTAGTTATATACTATAATTAAATTAAATTTCTAATTTAATATTAACTTTCTCTTTTTTTTATTAATTTATTTACTATAATTAGAAATATAATTTAACCTTAGGCCTATTTATTAAGTCGTTTCCTTTTTCTCTTTTTTTTTACTCCTTTTATATAACCTATCCCTCTATTTATATATTAACTTTTTTATTACTTATAAATTACTTTAACCCCTTATTAAGTACTATTTTTATAAAAGTATTAATAAAATTATTATTCTTATTAATTTAATATATTTCGAGGATCTCGTATTTTTTATATAATTACTTAAGGGCTATAATATTAATTATAAGCCTCTTTTTTTTCGTCGTTTTTAATTTAATAAGGTATTTATATAGCGAGTAAGAATTAGTATAAATAATTATTAAAATTAATAAAAAGTTAAGTTAATTAGTAATCCTCTTTAATATTATTAAAATCGTATAGGCGAGGTTAATACTATTAACTATATTATAAAATTTTAATACTAAAATATTTCTTATTATTTATTTATTTTTAGTTAATAAGTAATAGATTATATTATTATATATAATAAATTCGCTTTTACTTATACTCTTATTAATTAGGATAATAATATACTTTAATTACGAAATAAGGTCGTTATTATTTATAAATAACTTATTAATAAAAATATAGAGTTTATTAATAATAAGGTTAATTAGGTAATAAACGAGGTCTTAATTAAAATTCGTTTATTACTATTTAAGCTACTTATTAAGTACTTCGATATTTTATTTATTTAGTTTTATAACTTATATTACTTTAATATAATTAAAAATTATTTTAAGTTAGTAAATATTTATAATATATACCCCTCGCGCGAGCTTAGTTTTATATTATTTTTTAATATTAATTATATTCGGGTTAATAAGGGTAATTCTTTTATTTTACTCTTTTTATTAAAAAACGACGGTTTCCCCTTTAATTATAAGAATTCTGTTATTAAACGCTAATACGTTATTCGTTATAAAGACCTTTTTTAGCTTCGTTACGAAGCCCGCTTTTTAAAGCTTTTTATCCTCTTTTTTTATAAAGTTAATATTAAATAAGCCTAATATATTATTAGTCTATATTTTAATAATTCTAAATTATTTACTTTTTTATTTAGAGATTAATAAGTACGGGTCGTACGTAAATATAACTATTAATAATTAATTAATATAAAAATCGTAGTATATAACTTATTAATAAGTACCCGATTTTACGAGCTTATATAATAGTTTAAGTATTTTAATAATTATATTTTTTAAGTACTTACTAACTATTTCTTTTAGTAAGTAGGCTAGGATTTTTTTTATAAGCCCTATAGCTAATTAGGTATAAGCCTAAGTAATATTATAGCTCTAAATTTCGTATCCTTTTTTTTATAATAATACTATTAGTACTATTATTAATCGTTAGCTATAGTGCTATACTATAAATAATTAAATAAGTAGCGTTACTTTTTTAACGTTACCGTACCCCTAAATTATATACCTAAATTTCTTATATAATTAGGGTATTCCTTTTCCCTTAATTTTACGTACTATTTATAATTTAAATATATAGAAACTTTTATATTTTTCGGGGTTATAGAGGATAAATTAATAAACCCCTCGATTACGTAGAGTATTTATTTTAATAAAATCTAATCTTTTATATAGCTTTTTAATAATTATAATAATACCTTTTTTATATAGTTTAATTACTAACTTAAAATCGGCTTTTTTTTTATTATATAAAAAATATTAATTACTTCGTTATTAATAATAAATTACTACGTTAGGGCTTATTATTATAATCTTTTATAACGTCTTATTAATAGTATTAGTACCCTTTTAGTAATTTCCTTTTTTTTATTATTTATTAATATTATTATAACGATTTTATTAAGGATAATCTTTTATATTTTTATTATTAATTATACGGTTTCTCCTAGCTTTTTTTTTTTTTATAAATTAAAAATTACTTCAATAAGATCTATATAATATAGTCTAACTATAATAATTAATATTTTGAATAATTAGTTATAATCTCTCGTAATTACGTAAAAACGCTTATTAATAAAAATTAATTTATATAGCTTAGCCTATTACTAAGTAATTTTATACTAAACTCGTATATCCGAATTTAAGAATATATTTAAATTAGCTCTTATATCGGGCCTATTATATATAATAATTACTTCGTTAATTTACTTTTTTATACTTATTTCGTATAGTACTTATATTATTTTTTTAATTACTTAGGCTCGTTAGCTTATATTTAATAATAATAGCGAGGCTAAAGTCGTCTTTAAATATACTCTAAATACTAATAGTATTAGTATAAAACCGTTAAATTTTATAATATTATTATAGTATTTAAGTACTATTTAAAAGTATTTATTATTAGTAAAATTAGGATTTTCTTTTTTAATAATCCTAAATACCCTTTTTAGTTATTAATATACCCTTTTTACTTTTCTAATATTATAATACACTTTTACGGGCATAACTTTTAACTATATATTATAAGCTATTATATTTTTTTTAAGTTTTATTAATTTAAAACTTATTTTAGTATCGGTTCTAATACTATTTAGTAATCCTTAATATATATCGATCTAGCTTTTTTATAGGGCTATTTATACTATTTTTATTTATAAATTTTAAAAAAATTGCCCTATTTAAAATAATATAGCCTTATTAATTATATATAAAACCGGTCGACTATTTAAATAGAAGATATTAATAACGATTTCCTAATTAAAATTAAGCTTATTATATAATTCAAATTTAAATTTATATAAGCTCTACGTATTTATTTAGTATTAATAATATACTTTTATTAATTACTTTAGCGCCCCTATTTTAATATTCTTATTACTTAATTATTTTAAAAAGTTATATAGCCTCGTAATTAATAAGTACTTAAATCTTTAGTATAGTTATTTAAGCTTATTTTTTATTAAGTAATTAATTAACTTCGTATTATTAATAAGCCTTATAAACGCGTACCCCTATTATTATTTAACTATTTCGAAGTACCTATTACTAAAGATTCTATTCTTTATATTATCGAATATAATACCTAGTTAATTTATATTTTTTAAATATAAGAGAAATAGGGTATTAATAAGTAGAATATAAAAAGTTATTATTTTAAAGTACGTCTCTATTTCTATTATACTTAGGGTAATAATTTCCTTACTTAGGCCGAAGCTAATTTTTATAATACTTATTATTAATACGTCCCCTAATAATTTAAGTTAATATTTACTTACTTATAAAGGATTAGGATTTTATTTAAAATCGGGTTTCTTTTTTTTCTTTTTTATTTTAACTTATTAAGGGTCGTACTCTAGCTTATATTTATATTAGTAATTATTTAATATATTTAATTTTAATAAAAATATATTTAATCCGCGCGCTAGCTATAATAAATCCGTATTTTTATTACTTAACCAATTTATTAAGGTCTAAGTAATTCCCACTTCTTTTTACTATCTTATTACTACTCTCGTTTTTATTATTTCTAATAATTATTACTACCCTTTTAAATCGCTAGCTTATTAATATCCCTATTATAAAGTAGCTAGTTCGAACTATAAGTTAATAAAGAGATTAATTAAACTATATAAATTTCTACGTAAATATAAAAAGGAGGTTCTAATTATAAATTAGGCTAGCTATAATAATTATAAATAGGGCCCTTAATTAGCCCCTATATAGTTAGCTATATATTACGATTAAATTAAATTTCTAATTTAATACTAACTTTCTCTTTTTTTTATTAATTTATTTATTATAATTAGAGGTATAATTCGACCTCGGGCCCATTTACTAAGTTATCTTTTTTTTTTTTTTTTTTTACTCTTTTTATATAACCTATCTTTTTATTTATATATTAACTTTTTTATTACTTATAAATTACTCTAACCCCTTATTAAATACTACTTTTATAAAAACGTTAATAAGGTTATCGTCCTTCTTAATTTAATATATTTTAAAAGTCTTACGTTTTTTATATAATTACCTAAGGGCTATAATATTAATTATAAACTTTTTTTTTTCGTCGTTTTTAATTTAACGAGGTATTTATATAATAAATAAGAATTAATATAAACGACCGTTAGGATTAATAAAAAGTTAAATTAATTAGTAATCCTCCTTAGTATTATTAAAATTACGTAAGTAAAGTTAATACTATTAACTATATTATAAATTTCTAACGCTAAAATACTTCTCATTACTTACTTATTTTTAGTTAATAAGTAATAAACTATATTACTATATATAATAAATTCGCTCTTACTTATACTCTTATTAACTAGGATAATAATATACCCTAATTATAAAATAAAGTTGTTATTATTTATAAATAACTTATTAATAAAAACGTAGAGTTTATTAATAATAAAGTTAATTAAATAATAAACGAGGCCTCGATCGAAATTTATTTATTATTACTTAAGCCGCTTATTAAATACCTTAACGTTTTATTTATTTAGCTTTATAACCTATATTATTTTAATATAATTAAAAATCGCTTTAAGCTAATATATACTTATAATATATACCCCTTATGTAAACTTAGCTTTATATCGCTTTTTAAAATTAATTACGTTCAGGTTAACGAGGGTAATTTTCTTACCCTATCCCTTTTATTAAAAAACGACGGTTTCCCTTTTAATTATAAGAATTTTATTATTAAATATTAATAAGTTATTTATTATAAAAACCTTTTTTAGCTTTATTATAAAGCCCGCTTTTTAAAGCTCTTTATCTTTTTTTTTATAAACTTAATATTAAATAGGCCTAATATATTATTAATTTATATTCTAATAATTCTAAATTATTTACTTTTTTATTTAAAACCTAATAAGTACGGGTCGTATATAAATATAATTATTAATAATTAATTAATATAAAAATCATAATATATAACTTACTAATAAGTACCCGATTTTACGAGCCTATATAGTAGTTTAAGTACTTTAATAATCGTACTTTCTAAGTACTTACTAACTATTTTTTTTGATAAATAAGCTAGGATTTTTTTTATAAGCCCTATAACTAATTAAGTATAGGCCTAAGTAATATTATAGTTCTAAATTTCGTATCCCTTCTTTTATAATAATACTATTAATACTATTATTAATCGTTAGTTATAGTACTATACTATAAATAATTAAGTAAGTAGCGTCGCTTTTTTAATATCGCCGTACCCTTAAATTATATACTTAGATTTTTTATATAATTAAAGTATTCCTTTTTTTTTAATTTTACGTACTATTCGCAATTTAAATATATAAAAACTTTTATATTTTTTAGAGTTATAAAAAATAAATTAATAAACCCCTCGATTATATAGAGTATTTATTTTAATAAGATCTAATCCCTTATATAGCTTTTTAATAATTATAATAATACTTTCTTTACGTAGTTTAATTATTAGCTTAAAATTAGCTTTTTTTTTTATTATATAAAAAGTATTAATTACTTCGTTATTAATTAAATATTACTGCGTTAGGGCTTATTATTATAGTCTTTTATAACGTTTTATTAATAATATTAGTACCCTTTTAGTAATTTCCTCTTCCTTATTATTTATTAATATTATTATAACGATTTTATTAAAAATAATTTCCTATACCTCTATTACTAGTTATATAATTTCCCCTAGCTCTTTTTCTTTTTATAAACTAAAAATCACTTTAATAAGATCTATATAATATAATTTAATTACGGTAATTAATATTTTAAGTAACTAGTTGCGATTTCTTATAACTACGTAAAAACGCTCGTTAATAAAAATTAATTTATATAACCTAGCCTACTACTAAATAATTTCGTACTAAACTTATATATTTAAATTTAGAAGTATATTTAAATTAACCCCTATATCGGGCTTATTATATATAATAATTACCTCGTTAACTTATTTTTTTATATTTACTTTATATAGCGCCCATATTATTTTTTTAATTACTCGGGCTCGTTAACTTATATTTAATAATAATAATAAAATTAAAATCGTCCTTAAATATACTTTAAATACTAATAGCGTCGGTAAAAAATTATTAGGTCCTATAATATTATTATAATATTTAAGTACTATCTAAAAGTATTTATTATTAATAAAATCGAGATTTTCTTTTTTAATAATCCTAAATACCCTTTTTAGTTACTAATATACCCTTTTTATTTTTTTAATATTATAATACGCTTTTATAGGTATAATTTTTAACTATATATTATAAGCTATTATATTTTCTTTAAATTCTATTAACTTAAAACTCGTTTTAATATTAGTTCTAATACTATTTAGTAATTCTTCGTATATATTAATCTAGTTTTTTTATAAAGCTATTTATACTATTTTTACTTATAAATCCTAGAAATATTATCCTATTTAAAATAATATAGCCTCGTTAATTATATATAAAACTAATTAACTATTTAAATAGAAAATATTAATAACGATTTCCTAATTAAAATTAAGCTTATTATATAATTTAAATTTAAATTTACGTAAGCTCTGCGTATTTATTTAATATTAGTAATATACTTTCGTTAACTACTTTAGCGCCCCTATTTTAATATCCTTATTATTTAATTATTTTAAAAAGTTATATAGCCTCGTAATTAATAAGTACCTAAATCTTTAGTATAATTATTTAAGCTTATTTTCTATTAAATAATTAATTAATTTTATATTATTAATAAGCTTTATAAACGCGTACTCCTATTATTATTTAACTATTTTAAAATACTTATTACTAGAGATTCTATTTTTTATATTATTAAATATAATACCTAGTCGATTTATATCTTTTAGATATAAGAAAAATAGGGTATTAATAAGTAAAATATAAAAAGTTATTATTCTAAAATACGTCTCTACTTTTACTATACCTAGGGTAACAATTTTCTTACTTAAACTAAAGCTAATTTTTATAATACTTATTATTAATATATTAAATATTACTAGTGCGATTTTCTATAGTACTTAGAATTACCCCTTTCCTTTTATTAACTATTATAATACCCTAATATTTAAAATAATCTTATAAAAATTATCTAAGCCGTACTTTTTACTTGTATAAAATACTTATATAAACTTAGTATTTAAATAATCTAAGTAATATAAAAAGGACCCCTTTAGTTATCCCTAAAATTACTTAATATAATCTTTTTTTTTAATATTAATAAAAGTAATATCTTCTTTTTAAGTATTAAAAAAATAGAATTCTATATTATTAAATTCGTCCTTTTATTTATTTTTATATCCGTTATTTAAAAAACCTTCCCTTACTATTTATAAATAAAAGCTTATTTATTAAAAACTTTTACTATTTTTTATTTATTTAGCTTTATATATTCTCTAAAAGCTAACGGTATAAAAATAAGTAGTTAATATTATCGATTTTGTTATAATTTAATTTATTAATATAGGGGGTAAGATCTTCCTTATTTTTTAAATTTCTTAGGGGGGGTAGATATTCTAAGCTATTATTTTAATTATTATTACTAAGTTCTATACCTCTAGATTTACTTTTATATATAATAAAAAATTAACTAAACTAACGAGGGCTAGTTTTATTATTTATTACCCTCGACTTTTTATATTATTTATACGATTTAATATACTATTCTTTAAAATAATTACTTAACTAATATTTATCCTTTTTATAAATAAAATATTACTTTTTCTATTACCTTATTTATAAATTAAACCTCTACTTATTTAATAAATCTAAGCCTCTTTATTATTAATTACTATACTTAGTCTCTTTTCCTTTTTTATTATACGTTTAGTTAACTTAATATTATTAATAAAGGCCGTCGTATTTTTAAAAATAAGTTTAGTATAGTATTCTTATTTTAATATTAAAACTAAATCTTAGCCTTGAGTAGAGCGTTTTATAATCTTTAAATACTTAATATAAGGTTATTTTTACTTTTAATACGTACTAAATTATAATATAAAAATATCTAACTTTTTATTTATTAGTCCCCTTATTTAACTAAGTTTTTGCTAGCTTATTAATTCGATTAATAAGCTTTTTTAGGATTTTTATTTATAATTTTCCTTTTATTATTCTAATTATAAATATAAAAAAAATTACTTATAGTTTAAATAAGAGCTCTAGATTCTTATTATAAGTTTTAAAATAGCTTCGAATTATGTTAATAATACTAAAAAAGTCGTTCTAATTAAAATTACGTACTGCTTCGTAATAATAATTAAAAGCTTTATTTATAAATATAATATTAATTATTAAATAATATTAGTATTCCCTAATCTTAACTTTTTTATAGTAGTTATAAAATATCGTTAGGGTTTCTTATAAAACCTCGTACTTCCCCCTAAAATATAATTTTTTTTTTAAAAAAATCTTTTTAAAATCTATAAATTACTTCGTATTTATTACTATATTTTTAATATTTATATATAATCCCTACGTTATTACGTATTATTAATAACTTCGGGTCGTTTACTTCCTTTTTTATTAACTAATTAATACCGAATTTCGTATTAATAATAATAACGAGCTATAAATTAAAATAAATAAAATTATTAATTATTATACGTTTAGTACTATATTTTACCTCTATATATCCTTTTATAACGATAGATTATTATTAATAATTATAAAAAAAAATCTAAATCGTTTACCTTTTTTTTAAATTCGTTAAAATAATTATACGCTTTATTAACTTATACCTAGTTCTATAATATAAATTCCTCTTTTATAATCGTTATTATTAAAATTTTATATAGTTCTTATAATTATAATTACGTTAATAATACCCCTTATTTATAAAAAAATCTATTAACTACTTTTATAATTCTTAAGCTTATATTTATAAACTATTTATTTAGTTAGTAACTAAGGTTATTTATAATTTCGTAAAATAAGGGTTACCTCTATAACCCTTTTTCTTTATAAACTTTAATTAAATAGATTAATACTACGTTAATTTACTTATTATTAAGCTAATTTATAATCCTATATATTTACGTTCCCTAATAATCTAAGTTAATATTTACTTACTTATAAAAAATTAGGATTTTATTTAAAATCGGGTTTTTTTCTCTTTTTCTTTATTTTAACTCGCTAAGAGTCGTACTCTAACTTATACTTATATTAATAATTATTAATATATTTAATTTTAATAAAAATATATTTAATCCGCACACTAGCTATAATAAATCCGTACTTTTATTACTTAACGAATTTATTAAAATTTAAGTAATTCCCGCTTTTTCTTACTGTTTTATTATTATTCTCGTTTTTATTATTTTTAGTAATTACTACTACCCTTTTAAATTACTAGCTATTATACTTACTAAGATCCTCTTTCTTATTTAATATAAAAAAGTAAGCTTTAGTAAGTCCTTTTTTAATAGTAGTAATAAACGTTTATATTATTATAAAAAGATATAATAATTAATCTTAAGATCTTTATTAATTATTAATTTTTATTATTTTTTATACTTCTAACTTCTTAAACCTCGTACTTTTTATAATTTCTAAATTATTTCCTTTTTTAACCTACCTTTTTTAAAGTAATATTTTAAAAAAATAATTAAAAATAAACGCTGGGTATTTTATAAAAGAGCTGAAAAAGCTATTAAAAACTAAATAAGCTATTAAATATAGTTAGTAAAGTTAAGCTCTCCTTTTTATAAAATCAAAGACTTAAAAAACTTATTAAAAATACTTACTACTTCGTCGCTCGTACTAAATAAGGTTAATTACTTTAAAAGTCTTTTCTCTTATAGCTTTTTAATACCCTATTTTATATTTTTAAATAGTTTTTTTTATAGCTTCATTATTATTAAATAATTATTACTTATTAATAATCCCTTCTATTACTTAGTTAATTTTTTAAAATTAATAATCTTATATTAAGAGCTTAATATAAAAAAAGAGCTCTTTAATAACTTTTTAAAGAATTCTTTTTTTTTTTTTAAAGCTATATTTTTTTAGCCTTTTCTTAAGCTAATTATAACTTTAATAAAAAGTTATAAAACTACTTTAAAATAGCTACTTTCTTTTTAAATTAATTTTTAAAATCCATAATACTCTTAACTTAATATTATTAAATCCCTAAATCTCTTCTTTTTTTATTAAACCGTTTTTTATACTATATTCCTAAGTAATACTCGGGGGGTAATTAAAGGGGTTATAAAGAAATTATTTCAATTATAAGTTTCGAAGTCGTATTTATAAAATTTTTATAATACTAAGCCTTTTCGTATACTATAAATTTTTTAATTTAATAATTCTTATATAGGTTCTTATTACGCTTATTAAAAATATTTATATTTAAAAATCCCTTTTTTTAATTACGTAGTACTTTTTTATACTATATTATTAAGCTTATTTATTATACTAATTAATTAAGCGGGTAGCTACTATATAAGTATTTCTTTTTACTAATTTAGCTAGTTAATTTCTAATCGTAAGCCGGCTATAAAAAAGTTATTTAATAAAAAAGCTACTTAAAATAATAATAAAAAACTAATCGCTTAAGTAGTTTTATTAATTAATATAGTTTAATATAATAAATATTAACTTCTTATAAGTAATAAAGGGCTATAATTACTTAATTCTATATAGTATTTAAAAATCGCCTCCTTTTTTATTTACTTTTATAAAATTACTTAGTATAAATCTCTTATCCCGTATAGTATTAAAAAGTCGTCTTTTTTATATAATAAAATACCTTACTAATTTATAATAATAAAATTTAATTATTAATTAGTATTAATATCCCTATTATAAAATAGCTAGTTCGAACTATAAGTTAATAAAAAGATTAATTAAACTATATAAATTTTTATATAAATATAAAAAAGAGGTTCTAACTATAAGTTAAGCTAGCTATAATAATTATAAATAGGGCCCCTAATTAGCCCCTATATAGTTAGCTATATACCGTAATTAAATTAGATTTTTAATTTAATATTAACTTTCTCTTTTTTTTATTAATTTACTTATTATGATTAAAAATATAATTTAACTTTAAGCCCGTTTATTAAGTTATTTCCTTTTCCCCCTTTTCTTTACTCTTTTTATATAACCTATCTTTTTATTTATATATTAACTTTTTTACTATTTATAAATTATTTTAACCCCTTATTAAGTACTACTTTTATAAAAGCGTTAATAAGGTTATTATCCCTATTAATTTAATATATTTTAAAGATCTTACGTCTTTTATATAATTATTTAAGGGCTATAATATTAATTATAAACCTCTTTTCCTTTATCGTTCTTAATTTAATAAAGTATTTATATAATAAATAAGAATTAATATAAATAATTATTAAAATTAATAAAAAGTTAAGTTAATTAGTAATCCTCTTTAGTATTATTAAAATTGCGTAAGCGAGGTTAATATTATTAATTATATTATAAACTTCTAATACTAAGATACTTCTTATTATTTACTTATTTTTAATTAATAAGTAATAAATTATATTATTATATATAGTAAATTCGTTCTTACTTATACTCTTATTAACTAAGATAATAATATACCCTAATTATAAAATAAAGTCGTTATTATTTATAAATAACTTATTAATAAAAACGTAAAGTTTATTAATAATAAGGTTAATTAGGTAATAAACGAGGCCTTAATTAAGATTCGTTTATTATTACTTAAATTACTTATTAAGTATTTTAATATCTCGTTTATTTAGCTTTATAACTTATACTATTTTAGTATAGTTAAAAGTTATTTTAAGCTAGTATATATTTATAATATATACCCCTTATATAAGCTTAGTTTTATATTATTTTTTAATATTAATTACGTTTGGGTTAATAAAAATAATTTTTTTACCCTACCCCTTTTATTAAAAAATAACAGTTTTTTTTTTAATTATAAAAATTTTATTATTAAATATTAATAAGTTATTTGTTATAAGGACCTCTTTTAGCTTTATTATAAAGCTTGCTTTTTAAAACTCTTTATCTTCTTTTTTTATAAAGTTAATATCAAATAAGCTTAATATATTATCGGTCTATATTCTAATAATTCTAAATTATTCGCTTTTTTACTTAGAGATTAATAAGTACGGGTTATATATAAATATAATTATTAATAATTAATTAATATAAAAATCGTAATATATAGCTTATTAATAAGTACTTAATTCTATGAGCCTATATAGTAATTTAAGTACTTTAATAATCGTACTTTCTAAGTACTTACTAGCTATTTCCTTCGGTAAGTAAGCTAGGATTTTCTTTATAAGTCCTATAGCTAATTAAGTATAGGCTTAAGTAATATTATAGCTCTAAATTTCGTATCCCTTCTTCCGTAATAATACTATTAGTACTATTATTAATCGTTAATTATAGCGTTATACTATAGGCGATTAGGTAAGTAGCGTTACTTTTTTAATATTACTATATTTTTAAATTATATACTTAGATTTTTTATATAGTTAGGGTATTCTTTTTCCCTTAATTTTATATACTATTTACGATTTAAATATATAAAGACTTTTATATTTCTCGGGGTTATAGAGGATAAATTAATAAACCTCTTAATTATATAAAATATTTATTTTAATAAGATTTAATCCCTTATATAGCTTTTTAATAGTTATAATAATACCTTCTTTATATAGTTTAACTATTAGCTTAAAATCGGCTTTTTTTTTATTATATAAAAAATATTAATTACTTCGTTATTAGTAATAAATTACTACGTTAGGGCTTATTATTATAGTTTTTTATAACGTCTCGCTAGTAGTATTAGTACCCTTTTAATAATTTCCTCTTCTTTATCATTTATTAATATTATTATAACGATTTTATTAAAAATAATTTCTTATACCTTTATTACTAATTATATAGTTTCTTTTAGCTCTTTTTCTTTTTATAAATTAA